GCCCGTCCAAGTCGATGGTCTTCGCAGCTTGGATGAATGATTTGCGCCACGAGTCAAATCCGTGGCTACGGCTTTTTCCGTCTTGGAGCGGAGCATTGACCGTAACTCTTTTCTGGTGGCTACTGCTGTAGACGTCGAGGTATTCTCCATTTCCTCGAATCACGGGTATCTCACCTGGGGGGTTTAACCCCCTCGCTTCCCCGTAGTCCGGTCCTATGCCCGGGCCCACTCCGGCTGGTCCAACAGGGTTCGCTCCCGATCTGTTGGCCCAGCCGCCTTCCAGCAGCGACCGTGGTCCTTGCCCACTATCTCTCGTTTGCTGCTGGAGAAATCCCCCGCCACCGCCGAGCGGCAGCGTGGGCTCTTCTCGTTGGCCTCTGGGGGCAGCAACCCAGCCACCCCTACTGGCTGCATCCGCCACGACGCTACCAGGCTCCTTCTTCTTCACCGACTCCTCCACCAGGGCCGCCAATTGCGAAATCTGCCGTTGCAAACTTGCAAGCTCCGCGTCGCGGCCCTCCTGCACCGGCGGGCGGATCTGTTCTCCGCTCGCAGCAGCGCGCTCTTCGTCTCCAGCAGAGCTCATCCCGATGTGGCTTTCCCTCGAGGGGCAAACTCTAAAGTGTTTGCGGCCTACGCCACTTATTTATCGGGTGAGACTGTTTTGGTGATGTATTAACTTCACGGGAGGTAGACGACCGTCCTTCACACGGACGAAAGAGGGAGTGCTCAAAGAGCGGCTCCCACAGCAAGGAGGGGCTCCGTGAATCATCGCGGTGCTCCCTATCAAACGGTTATCTTACCAGTCTGCGTGACACAAAATCATCCAGCACATGTATCCAACAACAATGTTCGCAGACCCACGAAAAGAGGAAGCCCGGCGTGTTGACGCTGCCGGAGAAGCTATGAGAGCTCTTCGTGCTGCAGCCAAGGAGACCGAGGAAGCCCTGCGTGTTGTGGAGGAAGCCCAGGGTGTTGCCGCTGCCGAAGAAGCGGAGAAAGCTGTGCGTGCTGCAGCGAAGGAGGCCCAGGAAGCCCAGCGTGTTGCGGAGGAAGCCCGGTATCGGACACCTCAAGGCTCTTGTCGAGCGCAAGTGCATCGTTTGCAGAAGCAGCTACAGAGGAGGGATTCGTGAACCCTGGGGAATCCCGGCGCACCCGGCATGCACGAAGCGCCTCGAGACCAACGTGCGCTACGTCAATGGTGTCATACCTACCGAGCTGATGCCTTTCGTCGGGTCGACGATACCGGTCAACGTAAGGGGAGGATAAAGTTCGTATCATGGTCAGTACGAATACGAGACAGTTATCGCCAAGGCCATCCCCGGCTTCCGGAAGCATGACCCTCGCGCACTTTTACGCCGCTCACGCGACCAAGGTCAGTGCTTGGCGTGAGCGAGTGCGGGCGAAAAAGAGCGCTGAGCAAGGAAAGCGCAAACGAGCGGCCGATGAGCAGCGGGTCACGCGCCAGAAAAAGCAGAAGGTCGCAAACTAAGGACGCAGGGCGTCGATCGAGGCCATTGTCAACGCAACGTACCTAAAATTGATGCATATTGTTCCGAAGAGCGCGAAGAAGGTTGTGTCGAAACTGTCCGCGGAGGACAGTGTGGCCGCGGTGGCCGTGGTCAACGCCAACGCTGATCTATCTGCTGAGACGCACGAAACTTCGCTGGCGCAGGGGTACATAGGACCCTGTGCGATTGACCTGACAAGCGCCTACACGTCGGTTCGCAAACTCGGTGAAGAAGCACTCATTCTTATCCGCCGCCACCGATGCGTGCCCAAGGTCCGCGCCGAGCTCGTCGCGAGAGAAAGGGCTGGTCAAAGGCGCGCGGCCCGCGAGATGTCTAGGGAAGACAAAAAGACAGGCACACCCCGTTCATGCCGACAAGCATCGGAAAATGTCGTTGTGGCAACCCAGGTGCAAGGAAGTGCGCTTTTAACATGTGTGGCGGCTGTTGCCCGAAGGGCGGCTGTGCTAGACACGGTCGTCGTTGTTTGTCGTAGACGTTGGTTTCGATTGCGCCTGTCTCGTGTTAGATTCGTGCACAATTGCACAATGGCTTCCTGAACACGATAGTGCAGAAAACGAGCTTTCACGGCATTCGACAACTGCGGAGTGTGGATTCGGACGATTCGGATGATTCGGGGCAGGAGTCTGTTGTTGGTGAACAATGATTTTTATTTTGAAATTAGCACGCGATGCGCGGCTTTCCACCGGGAACTGTATTGTCCCGGAAACGAAAATGTACACATTGGTGTCGCCTGGTTCCAACTCAACATTGATGATTCGTGAAGAACACTGTGCCTCACGTGCAGACTTTGCCCTATGATCTTGCACGCAGAGCAACTGCATGTTATCGAGCGTCGTTTTTCCACCTTTACAAACCGCTTGGCTGAAACTGTCAAATACATGTATTGTCATCTTTCTCACCAAACAATTGCAGCGCGAATGTTGGCGTTGCAACAGTTGTGGCTTTTCGATAGGCGACAAGTGCCCGCGCTTTTCGGGCACCCTTCCCGTCCCATATCGGAACTGTTTGATCGACGGGCGACATCTTCAGAAAAATCGCGCACGTCTCGTGGCCCGCAATTCTTCCGACACCGCTCTGGCGAAAGCGTCGAGCTGCTGAGTAAGCTGTTCCTGCTTGCGCTATTTCTGCCCCACCTCTTAGACATTCATTCTCTGTCGATTGCCCCGTCTTCTCCTTCGGTTGCTTCACCTCGCGCTGCAGAATAATGACCTTGTCCTCCAAATCGTACACCTCCGAACCCGTGATGCCCATATTTTGCTGGTTGTACGCACGCAGAGCTACGTTCTCTCCCGCTGTTTCCGGTGAACATTCATCTAGGCGAGGGAAGGGTTCCGTGTTCGTGTGTTTAGATACGGACTGGTTCGATCTACCGGCAACAACAGAGGGCACGCAGATGGGGCATATGTACACCTTGAAATGGTTGCATGTGCGAGGACCCCTCGAACTCCAAGGAGGGCTTCACTTCTCCCTACTCCCCTCGCGTGTCTAATACAAGAGATAAAACGCCTTCCCCTTCCAAGTAAAGGACATATACGAACACACTAGCGTCAGTCCCTCGAGGGAGAGTCCATCAGGAATGTCAGGTCGCAAATGGGGGTGACTCCTCCAGCGACTCTGCGGCGGAAGACAGAAAGAGGTNGGAGGGCTTCACTTCTCCCTACTCCCCTCGCGTGTCTAATACAAGAGATAAAACGCCTTCCCCTTCCAAGTAAAGGACATATAACGGGAGGTACCTGCGCGAACCTGTTCGAGAGTCTGGCCCGTCAGGGCGACACAGCGGCGAAGCAGGGGGCTTTGTCCCCCAAGAAGTGAGAGTAGCCGCTGCTCACAACCAAGATTATAGAAATGCCATGGGAGATGGTGGTGCTGCTGTTGGCTTTGGATACGGAGCCACAACCCCAGCGACGGGGTA